ATATATTTACACATATATAGTTGCACGTTTGTCTAGCTTTCTACATATCATTATACATATATATGTATATATATATAGAATTTTTATAATTTCATCTCTTTGTATATATATATATGTATATATATTGTTTTTCTTTGTTTATCTTTTTGTTATATATCTGTATATCTTATAAGATGACTTCAAAATAACTCTGTAGGCATCTCTCGTGTACAGCCGTATTTCACCGGCTTGCACGACGACTCGAGTATTGCAATAATAATAGCTGGCCTCCTTCTCACATTGGCACCGAAATCAATGCGAACGCGTACGTGTATCTTATTATAATCGCGCGCGCGTTACTTATTATTTGTTTTTACAAATATTACATCTCGCACGCGACGACAGAAATTACGATTATAATTTGCATCAATATAATAATATCACGGATCGTTGCGCATGTGTTCATTTCCTCTGAAAATAACAAATAAATATTCACTTTAGGGACATTAAGTGACCTTATTGTTGTTACCGATCACAAATCTATATTTCTTCAGAAGACTTTTTACCGGTCGGAAATAAAGTCTTCTGAAGATTACGCTGGAGAGTTATGCCCTTTACAATACAGTCAAAGTCTCCCTGGGATCGTCTAAAATGAATATTTATCCAGAGCTGCAACATTTTCTAATTGTTAAGCTGCAATTATAAAACAATCAAAATATGTAATTATTTACAGTGTCGGAATTGATAACGTTTGTTTTCGTTGACGTGCGAGAAGTGCATGTAAATGACGTCGTTTTTGCATTTGTAATAATCGCACTGAATGCTTCGCATTTGTTCACGTTATTAAGTGTGCTCACGTTAAATAACAAGTTGCATGCTTCTCATTTCGCGCACAATTTCTTTGTTTTATTTTTCAGTCTTTCCGCTCCAATGTTTATTTTGTTTTCGTCGTAATGCGTCTATTTATTTTTTTATTTTTTGATCGCAAAATTGCGCGAAAAACAGAACTTTTCCCTCTCGTGTAACATTTTTGACTCTTTTTTTTGTCTGCCTCGATAACATGAAAAACTTGGAAGACACATTCCGTTCGCCTTCGCGTTTGTTATGAGATCTACGTTGTATTGAAAAACACTGTATACACTAATGTCAATTACGTGTAAAAAAATTGTAACAGGTAAATGTAATTCTTTTATCTCTTCTTTTATCGATAAAATTATTGTTGAATACGTCAGATTTCACCTGACGATGCGTAGCAAACATTTGTTTCTTTTTTTTTTTTTCATTTGTTTGTCAGTATATAAATTGTACTAAAAATAAGAAGTACTAGAGTGTCTAGTTTTTTAAAACAAAAATAGTAATTGGTAAAATTTTCGAATGATTTTATTTATTTTCGTAATTCGCGATGAAATTTCGCGATAAAATGTGACAATAAATTGGAGCATATATACCCGTTGATTGCGCGAAAGATTCAACAATGTTAATAATAAAAACACTCTGCAGAATTTAAAAAAGCTGTCGGAACGCACATAACTTTCGCTTTCTTATATTAAATGTTGTTGTTTTGATTATTGCTGAAACAGGTATCTTATCTCGGGTTATTGTGCTGTTTATTCCTAAATTATTCATACGCAATACTAGTTTTTGTCTTTGACCGAAAACGGAAATATGACAATTATGTAGAATGAATCCTTGACGCGTATGTAAACGAGAAACTAGACAGTAAAATTTCGACGCTGACGTGCGTTTCGCAACGGTGTTTTGATCACATTTTTAGGCACATGGAGTCGATTTGGACGACGCACACACGATAATTTCCTTATCGATATAAATTTGATTTTATTCGCGAGAAAAGCTGAGAAAAAGGAAAAATGCGAGATGACGAGCCAGCGAGAACGCAAGATCGCCCGGAGATGTGCAAAGAGTCGTTTTCGAAATTTTCAAAAGTCAACGAGAAGGAGCACGTTCGAAGTTGAGAAGTTTCTTTTGTTTTATTTTCTTCTCACGCGACTAACCGCGACCGATATTTCATTTGCAAA